CTACTGAACAGTCCCCAGTTCCTCTTCGACTCAATGCCAGGTTTCCTATTCTGTAGACATCAATTTCTTCCCCAGGTCATGGGATAGTGGGTGCTGGCCTCCTGACTATAGCCTATAGGTTAAGAAGCTGTTATTGCCTATGGATCACAAAATCACAAAACCCAAGTAAAGGCAAAATAGAAGAAAAGGGTATTTCTCCATCAGAGAGCAAGTCATCCTGGATGACAGCCAATTTGAGTTCCTCAGTTCACATAAAAGAGCAATAGGATATGAAATCAAATTTGGTAGAAGCAAGAAAAGCAATAAGACTTCATGTCACTAGATACCTGAAAGCCTTATCTTTGAATTCATAATCGATTCAAAGATAGCAAAATACATCTTCAATTCAATACATCTTCTATACTTGTACACAACAAACTAACAAGCATCCAACTACTACCATTCACAACTAAAAAAGCAACAAACATCTACTTCCTAAAAAGTACAGCAAGCACTACAATCACACAGGCCACCAATACAAACTTCAATAAACCTAGTTCCTTCTCTACCCTCCTGCATTTCAACTGAACATCATCTGTTCTAGCTGTTTGCACCGTTGGTGCCACAACATCTGTGCCTGCAAATCCTGCTTCCACCATGGCTCTTTCTTGCTGCCTTGATGCTTCTGCATCAACTAATGCCAGATCCATGTGGCCATTTCCCTATCTGTTAGCCGTCCTCATTGCTCACACTTGGTCATGGAGCTCAATAAGAATAGGTACAAGGTGCTCCGGGGTTGGTGGATCAATCCAGCGATAAAATTGGCATGGCCGCATATTGCTCTGCAACCGTGATTACAACCAAAACCAAGACAACTTCAATCATCACATCCAACAAAGAACCAAGGACAAGAACCAAACCCTAAACAAGTCATCGATCGAACTCACCTGAGATCCGAAGCAATTGTAGAACCTGCGGCCCGGATTAGCATTGGTCCACGACGTCCACTTTGCCGCCTTCGCTCCGCAATCGCAAAGCACGGGTGGCCAATAATCAAGAGGGCCTCGGCGACACAGCTAGGGGGACGACTAAAAGCCACCATGGTCAGACCTTCCTCCTCCCCTACAGCTACTCGTGCTGCTCAAGCTCGCCATGCTGTCGCCACCTATTGAGCAGCGACGCGCACTTGGCCTAGAAGAAGACGATGCTGACGAGGAGGAGCAAGGCGTTGGATAGGAGGGGAAGCTGCAGCCCGCGCGCTCGAAGATGAACCAGACCACGGTGGCACCCACAACGCCCGCCGCCGAGGCATTCGTCCGCCTCCACAGCAGCAGGTCGGCGACTGGAACGGGTCCCCACGCGAGGAATGTCTGGAGCTGTCGATCCGCACCCGCACCAGCACCCTCCGCCGTCGTCGTCGTCGTCGCCGCCGTCGGGAGTTAGGGTTTGGGGTTGGGGAACGAAAGGAAGAGAGTGAGAGGAGAGAGCGCGAGTAAGTGGGCCGCGAGAAAGGAAAAAGGCCCAATAACGCGGTCGTCGAGGGTTGACCGGGCGAAAACCGCCGTCGCGCCGGCTCGAGGGCCATTTCTATCTGGTTTACAGAGTTGATAGACTGCGGTTGTCTGGTTTTGGAGTTGGAGGGCTAAAACCAAACTGCTGCCATAGTTGGAGGGTCAAAAACGGACTTTTTCCCATGGGAAATGATTGGTTTTCCACAAAGTTTGCCATGCGTCAATCATGGATTCCGGCATACTTTATGGACATACCTCTAGCAGGAATCCTTAGGACTACGTCATGATCAGAGAGTGCAAATTCTTTTTTAATCGTTTCATTCATCAAAAATTGACATTTGTTGAGTTTTGGCTGAGGTTTGACACAGCTTTGGAGTGCCAGCCCTAAGAGGAGTTAAAGGCCGACAATGCAAGTCTTCACAAGACTCCTAAATTGATGACACCATGGTCCATGGAGAAGCAATGTAGTGTGATATATACACATGAAGTTTTCAGCAAATTTCAGGAACAAATCGTAGCTGTAAGAGACCATTGCATTATTCAGGGCATTACAAAGTGTGAAGATATAAAAATTGTCACCATCAGCAGTCTATCTGGAAAAGAGCGAGTGGTTCAGTTGAACAAGTCAGACATGTTTGGTAGGTGCTCCTGTAAATTATATGAGTCCTATGGCATCCCGTGCCATCATATAATACAAGTGCTTAGAGCCGAGATGCAAAATGAGGTACCATCGATTTATATTATGAAGAGATGGGAGAAAAGATGTAAAAGGTTTGTATTGTATGATTTTTTTTCTATGGCTGTTTTGTACAATAGTGTTGATCAGATATTCAATTTTACAGAGAACTATTCTTTGATGAAGAAGGTAACCTGCTAGATGAAAAGCCTGAAGATCCTACGGAGGTGGCAATGCGAAAAAAGATTTTAGATTCACGGAACCAGTTTGAAGATCTCATCCAGATGGCCAAGAACTTTGAACAAGGGGTGGACTTTTTATTTTCTAGTTTATCCAACCTAGTAGAACCTCTTCAAAAGATCACACCTACTACGAGAGTTAATAAACTAGATGAGTATGAATCTTCCCTTGGTAGTAAAATTTCAAATCAAGTCGATATATATCCACCAAATGATATCAAGTCCAAACGGAGATGCAAAAGAATTAAGAAGAGCAAGGAGATGAAGGCTGCAAGCAAAGGTCAAAGTAAACGGCCGTGTGGAAAATGTAAGCAAGTAGGGGATCATGATGCACGCACTTGGCCAAACAATGTTGTTGGCTGATATTTCAAGTTCATGTAAACACTTTTGATCATTTTGATCATATTCAATGTACTCTGTTATGATAATCAAGCTGATCTTCCAAGCTTCTGTTGCTCTGCTTGCTGAAATTTCATCTACTTGTGTCTTCGTCCATTGCTGATATTATGATCTGGATGTACGTTTTGATCATTCATGATGCCATGATGCCATAGTGAATTAGTAAGCTTAACTCTGAAACAGTTCATTAATTTTCTCATTCTTAAGTCTGTCTCTACATTTTATTTCACTTGGAAACCTTTTCAGATCAGTTATGGTAATTTTTTATGACGACAATGAGATACCTAACATACATGCGTGATACATATCATTCAAATTCAAAAAGATGGATTAGGGTCCAACACCAGGTTCTTCTGATCATTTATGTTTAAAAGATGGATTACAATCAGCACCACACTAGGTTACAGATTGCAGCATTGCTGTGGTGTAAAAACACATGCAAATTGGACAGCTTTCTAAATGCGTCTTCAATCTCATTCATCATCTGCCAGTGCTTATTCACCATCTCCTGATAGAATAACTGCCAGACCTGAAGAACCTCAGCACCCTCTCCCCTACATACAAGCAAACAGGCACAGCCAGATACATCCATGTCTGTATCAAAAACAAATACCTTAGGACTCAAACTTCTCATGGCATCTCCTTTGACGATTTTATAAAATCGCGGAAAATCACATACAAGGTGGTTCCATGGAGAAGCAAAACTGACAATCCGAAGCTGATGGCATCTCCTCTCAATCCGAAGCTGATATCATCTCCTCTCAATCCAGTTGCTTCAGGTCATAGTACAGGCAGTAGCCATCAACAACAAGCTCAAAATCCTCAACATCCCACTTGGCAATGGTTGTGCTGATCCATTCATCAATATTCTCATGCCAACGACCTAGCATTTGGAGTCTCGGTTTCTGGACAGGCCGGCGTTGACGCACATCCTTTGGAGCCAGAAGAAATGCATTCACCTGCTTGACATCAGAGGAACTTAAGTAAGCAAAACTGTAAGTCTGCTGATTCATACTGAAAAGGGGAAACAACCAGGCGGAGCACACAAGGCGGCGGCAAATCGCGTGAAGGGGCGCCGGCGCCCTACCAAGGCGGCGGAGGGCCACGGGCGGAGGAGCCCTCATAGGCCGGCGGAGGGCCCACGGGCGGCGGCGGGAGATTTGCGCCGGGCGAACTAGGGGCCCATGGCCACGGCGGCGGTCTGGGATGACTCGCTGAGGCCGGGCGAACCAGGGGCGTGGCGCCGTCCTGGGGGCTGGGGCGACGCTCACGGGGCTAGGAGAAAACGAAGCCAGGCGGCGGCGATGGATTCCTGGTGGCGCAGTCGCGGCTCGCTCGCGACTGGGAGAAAACGAAACCTAGCGCACGGGGCTGCGGATCGCTAGGGGGTTTTCCGAAAAAAGGCCGGCAGGTGGGAGGGTTTAGGCGCAAAATCATCCCACTTCTCACCCTATCGAGTGGATCTAATTAGAAGTTTCTAAGTTTTCACGGGTTCCTGATTTACACCTGATATGTTCCCTTTAGTAATAACATACCTCTTTGGGTTTATGGATTCAAAATCAAATGGAAGATAAAAATTTGTCTACGGAGCACTGTCGAAATTCCGGAGCACAGGATTAGAAATGTCTCCTCCAAGCAAAGTCAACGGCTCCACCCTCCAGTGCTAAACTAGGCGGCAATTCCCGACAACGTGAGCGGCCTCGTCAGCATAACGCAAGTGGCTGTGGCCTGTGGCCCGATGAGGCCACCAACACCACTACTAATCCTCGTCAGTGAAAATGCGATCACGTGAATAAATAAATAAACAGATCCGGGAAAAGGGAAAACGGAACTGGATTTTTACGGGCGATTTTTTACCTGGCACCTGAAAAGGGGCAGATAACCAGATCTACCGCCTCCCTGGCATGGCAAAGGGAGAAAAGAAAAGAAAAGAAAAGCCAGAGAGAGGGAGATCTACCGCTGAGCAGCAGAATGCACAAGCGGCGGGCGGGCGGCTGCGTCGACTGACTGGACTCAGGCGAACACAAGTACACCTCACACCCACCCCCCGCACCCCACCACCCAGCTCCACTGCGCAGCCGCTGCTCCCCCTCCCTCCCTCCCTCCAGCTCCTCCACCTCCTCCTCTTCCTTCGTCTCCCGCTCGGCCGCCTCAGCCCGCGCCGCGACGTCGTCGGGGGGAGCCAGCCCGCGGGCGATGTCAGAGGAGGACGAGGACCAGCCGCCGCCCAAGCGCCCCACCAGCGCGTCGCCGCCCGCGGACCAGGTGCTCGACAACGTGCTCGAGACGGTGCTCCAGTTCCTGGACGCCCCGCGGGACCGGAGCGCCGCCTCCCTCGTCTGCCGCTCCTGGCACCGCGCCGAGTCCGCCACCCGCGAGTCCGTCGCCGTCCGCAACCTCCTCGCCGCCTCGGCCGCCCGCACCGCGCGCCGCTTCCCCAACGCGCGGAGCCTCCTCCTCAAGGGCCGCCCGCGCTTCGCGGACTTCAACCTCCTCCCGCACGGATGGGACGCCTCCGCCTTCCGACCCTGGGCTGCCGCCGTCGCCGCCGGGGCCTTCCCCGCGCTCGCCTCGCTCTACCTCAAGCGCATCCCCGTCACGGACGCTGACCTCGACCTCCTCTCCCGCTCCCTCCCGGCGTCATTCCGCGACCTCACCCTGCACCTCTGCGACGGCTTCACCTCGCGCGGGCTCGCCTCCATCGCCTCCCATTGCAGGTATCTCTTCCTCTTCCTCCATTTCGATGCGTGCGTTGTTCACCTGTTCTAGACTGCGACTCGAACTTGATGGATTCTATTCTCCCGACACGACAGGGGCCTGCGAGTGCTCGACGTGGTGGAGTGCGACATGGCCGACGAGCAGCAGGAGGCCGTGGACTGGGTGGCCGCGTTCCCGCCGGAGCCCACCAACCTCGAGTCGCTCTCCTTCGAGTGCTACGAGCCGCCCGTGGCCTTCGCCGCGCTCGAGGCGCTCGTGGCGCGGTCCCCGCGCCTCAGCCGCCTGGGTGTCAACCAGCACGTCTCGCTCGGCCAGCTGTGCCGCCTCATGGCGCTCGCGCCCAGCTTGTCGCACCTGGGCACCGGGTCGTTCCGCCCGGCGGAAGGCGGCGAGGAGGGGACAGGATTCGGGGAGGTTGTCAATGCATTCGTGTCCGCTGGGCGGGCGCGCACGCTTGTTTCTCTCTCCGGCTTCCGTGACCTCGCCCTCGCGCAAGAGTACCTGCCGACCATCGCCGTGGTGTGCGCCCACTTGAAGAGCCTTGACTTAAGCTACACCGCGGTCACCCCGAATCAGATTCTCGTGTTCATTGGGCAATGCTACAACCTTGAGACACTATGGGTACTAAACTGTACTAGATTGCTTCCTTGACTTGTTTTTGTGCTCTGTTTTGCTGACGAAGACTTGTTTGCTAGGTACTTGACTCGGTGCGCGACGAAGGGCTCGAGTCCGTGGGAAATTCTTGCAAGAAGCTCCAGTCTCTTCGTGTGCTCCCATGGAATACACATGAGGATGCCGACGAGTTGGTATCAGAGGTTGGCCTTACTGCCATCTCACGGGGCTGCCCTGCTCTCCGCTCGATATTATATTTTTGCCAGAGAATGACCAACGCTGCTGTTGTGGCCATGTCGCGCAACTGCCCGGAGCTCAAGGTGTTCCGGTTATGTATAATGGGACGGCACCAGCCGGACCATGAGACTGGGGAGCCTATGGATGAAGGATTCGGTGCCATTGTTCAGAATTGCAGCAAGCTTACCAGGTTATCCACGTCCGGGCAACTTACTGACAGGGCATTTGAGTACATTGGCAGGTATGGCAAGTCCCTGCGGACACTCTCTGTAGCGTTCGCTGGAAACAGCGATGTGGCGCTGCAATACATCCTCCAGGGCTGTTCAAAACTAGAGAAGCTTGAGATAAGGGATTGCCCTTTCGGCGATGCTGGCCTCCTCTCTGGGATGCACCATTTCTATAACATGCGGTTCGTCTGGATGTCAGGCTGCAACCTGACCCTGCAAGGATGCAAGGAGGTGGCTCAGGGGCTACCACGAATGGTGGTGGAGTTGATAAATGGGCAGCCTGATGAGAATGAAAGGAATGAAAGTGTGGACATCTTATACATGTATCGGTCACTCGATGGTCCAAGGGAAGATGTGCCACCATTTGTGAAGATCCTGTGAAGCTGCTTCTGCGGAGGAGGCCGGGTATGAGTGGGTGCCTGGGAGTATCATGCTGCTGCACTTGATATGCTGGCTGAGTGCAGATCATTTAACGGAATATATGTAAGTTGTTGAGCTGCAGATATGGTACATTTTTATCTCTTCAATTTCTTATAGAAGGATTTCCAAGCACTGTAGGCGGGCAGGGTGTTCAATTGATGTTGTTCTAGTAGGAGTTCATCAGTGTATGCAAAGTGTTCTACGGCAAGACCATAAGCACAGGAGAGCAGGCTTCTTCGAGGGTGCCTCATGGCTTCCTCAGTTTTGTTTGCTGCTCTGGAGGCTCCGGTTTGAGGACCATCTTTCTGTGCCGGTGCAACCACCATGTTTTCTCTCAATTTTTCGAAATGAAGCTTGTTATATCAGATTAGATTCATTAGAACTTCCCCATCTGCTGTTGTTGCTGCTGCATATTTTCTGTTTCATTATTCGCATTTTGGAACTATGATGAGATGAGAAAAAACTCCTGATCTGAGCTACTATATTGTTAAATTCCAATTCCAATGTTCCTTGTCTCAAGTTTTGTGATCTGATCTGTGTTGATGTCTTGAAAAGTCCCTGCGCCTGTCTTTTCGATATCTCATCTGAATCCGGAGCTTTGGCTGTTGTTATCATTACTGGAGGACCTACAGTCACAGCCTGAAAGCTCTACCATCCCTCCTTACTGAAAGGTCCGCAACAGCAAAGGGTCATGGTTTAGGCCCTGGTCCATCAAGTGATGATTGCCTCGCCTGGCGTCCATTTGTCTTGACAGCCCTAGTTTCTCGCCGACGTGTTCACCGTCCACAGTCGGCCGGCGATAAGCGATAGCGACGGCTGGGTCTTGCTACTAAGCCCTCCCCATCAACTCCAGCAGGTTAGCGATTATATGATGATGATGACTTAATGATGGGGATTGGGTTTTGGCCCCCCAATGCAAATATCACGCTCCATGAGCGGAAGGAATAGCTGCCACCACGGCCTTTCTCTTTCGTCCCAGCTTCCTTTGGCTGCCTGATGGCCGTACCGGCCACTATTCTGGCCAAAAAAAAATGCTTGGATGGCGACCAGTCCTACAAGGAAGCCCCCGGTGATGGTGGTGGATCCGGACCAGAAGAAGGAAAAGACGACGACGGGGGAGATGGCAAATGATGAGGGAGTGATGACCGGTCGATGGCGATGGGGGGAGATCCATCGATCCATCGTTTGACTGCCTCCCGCTCTTCAGTGTTCACGAGTGAGTGAGTGAGTGAGTGATGAAACGGGGTAGTACCGCAGGCAGTAGACGCCAAGCGAGCGTGAGGACGAGAGATTCAGAAGGACAGTGAAATCTGCTGCTGGTGAAAGGTCTTCACCAGCAAACTCATTGGCCTCCTTGACCACCCCGCTGTCTCGTTGTACTCTTCCTGTTCTTCGCCGATGATTGAAGGCGCAGTCGAATTATTATAGCTACGGCCACCGATCGCCTCGCCTCGCCCCAGCAATCGTCCGAACGCTACTGATTGCGATCTGCCTAGAAGAACATGAGATCTCCATCTCCATCTCTATCCGTTCCGATCGTCCGAGACCGGACTGAGTTATCGCGTGATGGTGGTGCCTGGAGGCCTAGCGCTAGCGGTTGGGATCCGTCGCTGTTCGATCAGTTCTTGAGGCCGCGCGCATCATGTCAAATAATTGGCTGGGCTGCTGTTCCAACTCCGCCTCCGGGAAGGAAAAAGAGATCGGGAAATCCGGCCGGCGGATCTAGTGGACCTCATGCTTCGACTACATGCAAAGCGGCCGGGCCGCCGGCCATGCTGTTCTTGAGGCGATGTGCAAGCCTTTGGTTAGTTGTTTTGTTCGAGAAGATGCAGGAGTACCATGGTGGGTGGAAAAAATTGCAAACACGACACTCGAAAGATTGACTCTTGATTATGATGACACTTGGGTGGATGACAAATGGATCTATCTGTGTCTATGAATATGGGTCCCGTGTCAAATCTGCAAACAACCTTCAAGTTCTATTTTTGCAAATCGCCCGTGGTGAGGGGTAAAGGAAACTCAACTGTGACGGATTCACCTCGCGGGAAAGTTGCAACTGCTATGCGCCATGTGGAACAGCAACGCTCGGTATGTGCAAGGCTTTATTACTCTACATTAGGGCAAGGGCCACTGCTACATACAGACAGGAGTGCTGTTTGTTCTTGTTCAGTTCAGTCGTCAAATATATCCATCCAGTTCATCAAAAAAAAAAAAAACAAGGTTCATGGCAAATTGCATTACGGTGCTAAGCAGGGGGGATTATTCATGGCAAAGTGCATCTTCCCTCTTAGTACAATCTATGATGATTGCTGTGCTCCGTGCTTTTCGCCTTCTCATACGGTCTAAACCACGCCTTTCTCAGGCACATTATGTTTGGTAAAAAGGATGGAAATGATGACAGAAAAGATGATTCACCGTGGTGCTTGCTGCTCGCCTGTTTTAACCGCTCCAAATCTGGAAAAAAAAAGTGAGGTAACGACTTTTCAACGGCCATCAGCACGGAGACGTGGATCAACGGGGTGTGTACATGTATGTGATGTGGCCAACCGATTATCTCCTCTGAAAGTTAGGCGCCATTTCAGGCAGGGAAGCATGTGTTCCCAAATCTGCAGAGGCAGGCGTTAGCGGTTTTTAATTATTCATCATTCAGATCTTGTCAGACAGGCAGACTTCATGGTTCAACCGAACTGCATATATGAAGAAAGCATGGCTGGCCGGTCATTGCTTTTGCGCATCATGATTATGAGGCTATCAAGCACGAGCTTAACTCCTAACAGCTTCTTCCTGCTGCTGCGTGCGTGGGCCCGCGGAGAATAGGACTTGCAATCAGTGAAGAGATTATGAATACGCGAACAGTGAAGAGATTGGATTTCTAGGGTTACTTTATAAAGTGTCAACACCTTAGATTTTTTTAGTTTAATCCTTTAATCTTGGGGGTGTGGTTTTATTGTTTTGTCACATCACCTTTTCTCACCCTTTGTTGATTGAGGTAGCAGGGCCATGTTTCTAAATATCCAAGATTACGCATGGGCAGTGTGTCCACATGCATCAGAAGAGCCCTAGAAAGAGAAGTGCTCCACTAAATCAGAGAGAGAGAGAGGGAAAGCAAGCACTTGAGCTCTTGAGTCTTGACCCTGATGCTCGTGCCGGCCCGGGCGGGGAGGAATCAATCATCTACTGCAGCCAAATGTCAAAGTTCTTGCATGGTGAAATGAAATGCACTGCCGCCGGTGCCAGCGCATCTTTTGTCGAAACATCAGCAGAGAGGATATCTTGCTTTGCTTTATAGAAAAAAAAAAGGAAAAGCAAAGCGGCTTTGTATTTGTGGAAGCTGGATTGCGAGAACATATTCTGTAATCTGAACCGCCGGCGAGATCAGTCAACGGCTTCTGCTACGTGCAATGTTTCTGGCTTCTAGGTGAGGTGATTGATTATATTGAACCTAGCTGTAGCTGTGAGGAATCAGTTTTTGAACCTAGTTAGTTCACTCATATAAAAAAAAATAAAAAAAATTACATTGCTCCTGAACAGGCATAGCACTCCGTACTTGAGAATTTTTTTCCCCTGAATCTTGCTGATGTTCTCATCAATCAACAAATGCCACAGATATTTTTTTCTGAAAACAAGCAGGAGAGAGCGCGTCATTTCATTGTATTAAGGTGGAGACGGTCCGTTTAAAATTTAAATGCCACAAATGTAGAAATCTTGTGCTGAACTTTACGCTAATCATTTATCTAGTAGGTCAGCATTCGTTCTTACAAGGTGAAAGCGAAACAATTCGTTCTTATGAAAAGTATTTGGAGCCGCATTGCCTCATCAGTCAAGCACTTTGCTGTTGATCAACAGCTCACTTCTCTCTCTCTCTCTCTTTAACCAGTGGAGTGTTTGCACTGCTCTCCCGCCTCCCGGGGTCCGGGACTTGAACTGTTGAACATGAACATGCCAATCTACAAGTTGGGAGGTGCTCCCGTCCATTCCAGCGGCCAATCGTCGGACTCGGAGAGGACAACTCAACCGGGGGCATCTCCGGATCTGGACCGCCCCTACCAATCCAGTTCCGGTCTCCTCGGCGAACATGCACGGCACAGGCACAGCCGAGCCAACCGCCATCGCTGCCCTAGCAAAGCGGCAGGTGAGTTTCCGTCCCGTGGCGCGAAGCAATGGGGCCGTGCTCGTGCTCGCGGTTCATCAATCACCATGCATGTGAAGCCAGCCAGTTGCATCGCAGGTGAGTACGCGCACATGATTGAGGCCTTGAGGGGCTCCTCCTCTCGCTCTGAGCCTGAGAGATTTGTAAAGGCACGCAGCAGATTGCAGGCATCAATGTTTCGCAGCGAGCGCAGATCTACAGCGCGGCTGCGGGCTGCGGCAGGGCGCTGCATGCTGCTTGTGCGCGCAGGTGACAGCCACTACACGAACAGGCACAAGGGGTTGAGGAGAAGCAAACAAGGGGTCTAGTTAGCAATGCAGCACGACAGGACAAGCCTGAATCGATTCTTTGATCCCACCCTCTCTGTTATGTTATCTTTTTTTTTTTGGCCTTCTTTCATTTAATCATTTCAAATGCAGGTCTGTTCATTGTTTTGTATTATCTATCTATCTTTGCAGCAGCACAAACCTGATTGACAGCCAAGCAGTTGATCATATGGCAGATATTGTATTTTACTGCTAGCTGCCTGTGCAGATGCCATGAGTTACTTGGAGCAAGAGATGCTGTTTGAACATTTTTTCTGCTATAGCATACTTTTCTTTTCTAACATTCATCAAAGTGAAAAAAAGGGGGAATCTTGCTCATCATTTCAAACCCCAAGAACCATGGACTTGTTGGGACACGAACCGCATCACACTGACCAGTGATAGGAGAGGTAAAGAAGAGGGAAGGCTGCGTTGCCCTTACCTTGCAGAGGCCAAAGTTGCAACTTGCAGATGCATTTTGCCTTTCATCCCTACTCGCCAATTCT